GTGTGGGACTGCAGGTCATCCGGCAGCCGCGTCAGGAACTGAGCGATGTGGATGAAGTCCATCTGCAGCAGGACGTCCTCGTACAGACGCAGGATCCCGAGACCAGTTCTGAACAGACTCTCCTCGCCGTCACGACAGAAGACGTCCCACACGCGACACGCCACGTCAAGGGGGAGGGACTTACTGAACAGGGTGAATATCCTGACACACGTGATGACACAGATGCAGAGAAACAGATCAGTTCATCGTATGTGGAGGCAGCAGCAGATGTTATTTACACATACACCTGAAGTGAAGTCTCCATTCAACAGGATAGTTATAAATACCAGTTACCAGTTACCAGTTAGCAGTAGAGTTATGTTTTGTGACAGTGAGTTGAGCTAAGATCCCGACTCACCAGTCGATCAGGTAAAGGTCAGGGGTCAGGTTGTTGGTCTGGAAGTGACCGAAGAGCCGAGGAAGATTCTCCTCAAAGAAAACCTCAAAGGCTGCAAAATACTTCAACATCTGGGTAGAATGAGAAGAAGAAGAGTTACACGAGGAAGAGGGGGAGATGGAAGGAGAGGAAGTAGTAGTAGTAGTAGTAGTAGTAGTAGTAGTAGTACTATGGTGAGGTCATTGAATAAAACCATGTGCGTACCAGGTCATGGTCCACTCTGAAGAAGGCCATCTGACAGGGTTTGTTGAGCAGGTTGGCGAAGGTGATGAAGGCGTCGGCTTCCTCCAGGTTCAGGATGAGAACTGCAGCGATGAAGGACATGCCCTGGACCTGGACAAACACACACGGTGTTCAGACACAAATCAGTTACTTCACATTTCAGTCCACCAACGTCCACGGAGGCTGATCCAGAACAAGGACTCTCTCTACGGACTGTGGAAACCAGGAGGGTCGAGTTCTCACTACGGTCAAATGTGTTGATGGTTATTATTCAAACCTACATAACCAATGTCAGGTCTGTAGCAGGTGTACGCTCCCAGTACGCTGTGGAGAAGGTCGTGGTAAGGCCCGCCCTGAAGAGGAGGAGTCAGAAGAGAAGAAGAGGTCAAAATGTTAAGAAAACTTTTTATTAGTTTCAACATTATTCAAAATGATGTGAAACTGAAAAAACAGTTTGTTCTTAGATCAGACATGATGACGTTTCTGTTGTTGCTAATCTAATCTCATCTAATCTAACTTCAGATTGAGACACAAGATCAGGGTTGTTACCCTCTGAAAGATGAAAAGTGACGGGAAAGTTCTAGAAATGTCCAGTTTGATGAGGTCGAGGCTGGACTCCCTGTCGGCCAGAGACGCCCCGCCGTCTGCCAGGTGAAGAAAAACACAAACATGAGAGTCACGTTTTCACAGAAGTTGAACTGATGTGGGCCAGACGTCGGGCCGTACCACTTTCACTGTCGTTGTTGACTGAACTGGTCTCGCTGTAGCTCCTCCACTTCTCTTTGGCTCTGCACAGGAAGATCTCATACAGCTCTGCAACACAGAAGACGTGGGGTAAGTGTTCAGATCCACTCCTGGTCAGTTTAGAACTTCAGGTTACAGTGAACTCTCCATGAGACGTCCGAGTCACTGAAGGATTCTGACTGACTCCTACTCTTTGTCAGCAGGGTCTTAACTTCCCTAACCTCAGTCACTGAATCCAAGTAGAAGTTTAAATCAGTTTGACTCCAGTCAAAGTCACGGAAGAAAAAAACTGGGTCGAGGTCAAGTCACAGATCAAGTACTTCAGTGTACTTGGTACCTGGTGTGATGTTGAGCTCGTTGCCGATGGCCAGGCTCCAGACTCGTCCTCTAACACTGGGAGGAAGTCCCTGCCACCACAGGTCCCTTACCCTCCGAGTCCCTTTCCTACAGAAGACATGCACACTGAAATTTACAACATATCTTTGTATACACACACACACACACACACAGAGAGAGAGACTCATACATGGTGTTCCAGTTTGGCAGGATCTCGTTGTTCCAGATGACCATGGCGTTGGAGATGCTGTCCTCCTGCCGATGTCTCTCTTTCATCTGACGCTTCTTCTTCTGAGCGTCCTTCATCTCTGAGGGACAGAGACGATCTTGGTTAGTCTCTGACGGGATTCTAATAAAGTACTATATTTGTGTAGTATACATGTCTTATAATAAGGTGGAAACACAACTAGTTTTTGGTACCGATCCTGATTTCTGTGACTGGTTGAAAAAAATTGGGTTTCTTGGAATGTCCCTAATTTTTCTTGCTAGTTCTTGGAACCATACATAGTACCTGGTACTTTTTCTCTTTTGGTGCTATCCCTAGTTTCTGGTGCTTCAATCTCTAGTATCTGGTTTTCTATTGTGGAACATACTGGTTCCTGGTACTGTCTGGTGATGTTGACGATCGTATTGGGTTACCTCTTTTCTTGGCTCCTGCCACCATCTCCTCATACTCCAGCTTGTGTCTCTGAGTTTCCTCCTCTGACTTCGCAGGAAGATTCCTAAAAGCAGACAGTGAGGAGTGAGACAGGTAGAGGAGACGGAGACAGAGACAGAGGCAGGAAGACAGAGGACATGTGACTCACGCTGGTCTGTCCTCCAGAATCAGAGCTGTGGTGGACAGAGGTTCAAACTCCAGCTTCTTTCTCCTTCCTGGCACGGGGACGCACCTGAATCATCCGCCTGGTCCTCCTGAGGGGACAGAGGAGAGGGAGAGGACAGTGATGTCATCTAAAGTCAGTTAGCTCCTAAACAAGTGTATACTGTACTGTGTTTGTTTGAATCTGTGTGTGAAGACCATATAGTACGAGAACATTGTGTAAGACAACAAACTTTGACGTCTTTCAGTCAAGGCTGTCCTCTGGAGTGGTTAGGTCACAGTGAGAGTGGACAGAACTCATTAAGTCTTTGGTTACTCCCCATGAAAAGAGAGAGAGACGTGTGTGTGTGTGTGTGTGTGTGAGTCCTGGCAGAAGACATCGTTGCGGATCATCAGAAGCGTTCTTTGATAACCACCAGCAGAGGGCGACAGAGGTCATTCTTTAAAAGCACATTTGTCTCTTTTCTTTTTCCATGTAGTCTTTTTTTCTTCCTCTCTCACTGTTTGTTTTTCGTGTTTTGCTCCTCCTCCTAACTCTTTATTCCACTCCTCCGTCTTCACTTCTTTTTATTACTCTTTCGTCTTCTTTTTCTTCTCTGTCTTTATTCTCTTTCCCCCCCACGTCCATTTCTTTTCACTACATTTTCCACTTTCCCTGACTCATCATCTCCTTCACTTTTGTTCTTTTGCTCTCAGTCCGTGGTCTTCTTTCTGGTAGAGAAGGTTCAGGAGGAGAATAGTGTATCATCTTCTTCCTCTTCTTTTTCTAGTTCTTCCTTTTCTTACTTCCTCTTTTTTCAGCGCAAGACAAATGTCAAACATCTGCAGATATTACACATCTGGTGCACACATTCCGAGGCTGAAATCATCATCATCATCATGTGAGTAGAGATAGATCATTAAACTGCCTTCAATAACAGTCCTGAGACAGGAATTTATGAGGACATCACATGACAAAGCATGTGGTTTTTTTACACAAGTCTTTCTTTGCATCATCAACAACACTTAAATTCCCGTTCTTAAATGTGATACAGTGAGCTCTGACATCATCAAAGTTTCAGGTTGACAACATCAAACATCAACACTGTTAAATATCCAGTGTTTATTCTGCTACTGTTACAGTAGAAGGTGCAGCATCTGTGACAGACGCCCGTAGCTGTCAGTGGTTAACTGTGTCTACTCTGTGTTATTACCTGCTGTGCAATCGGTGCAGAGGAAAAATCTGTCGTCTGATCAGCATCTCTGGCTGCTGTTTTTCCAAACAGTCGCCAACCTGATGCATTATGGGATACTGCCTTAGGCTCTTTGGCTTTTCTAGAAAACAGGCTCCTGTAAGACAGAGGAATTGAATGGTCAAGAATGATTTAGCTCAATAAAAAACACAAAAACAACAATGATTAATTACAAAATGGCAAACTAAAAACATCCATCAACTCATCAACTAGGCAGGAAAATTAGACTTGATGGTCGTTGTTCGTCATTCACACCTCCCCACTGCAGCTGCAGCAAAATAAAAACTGCAAAGTTGGCATTCACAGTCTCCTGGGGTCAGAGAAGGAGGAAGTGAAGCTGGGACACTCACACGATCGCACATCTATGAGCACAAAGACGCTTTCAGGCCCTGCTGAAAAAAGCAGGAGCTTCACTGAGATTGTGCAGGAAAAACAGGTTCAAGCTAAGAATAATCTGTGATTAAATTGGTACAGTGTAAACTTCAGATGGCGCTAAGGGGAGGAATTTAACTAAATATCAATTGCAGTATTTTTAACTGAACATTCTCAAGTCAAAAATCTGATTTTCTGCAGAGCCTTACTTCTTAAATATTAGCCTGAACTCTGTGGAAAATATCACTACCAACCGTAAACAATCATGAGGAAGAAGAAAAAAAGACAATGAAAAAAGGGAAATGAAAAAAGGAGTTGTGAAAAACTTGGCCTGGCAGATGTGATGTCTGTTCAAGGTCTTTTAATTTGACAGGAACATTAGTTGTAAAGTGTTATAGTTGTATGAAGCTGCACTTGAACACATCTGTGAGAAAGTGGAAATATGTATTAATACTGACTGTGCAGTCAGGGACCGTGCCAATGTTTGTTTGTTTGTTTGCAGCAGCAGTAGTAGCCGTGCCGATGTTTGTTTGTTTGCAGCAGCAGTAGTAAAATCCAGTTTGCTGAGTTGGCAGGTGGAAATGAGTGTTAAATCTTTCTGTGTTTTTTTTCCATTTGTGTCTTGGCCTCAAGCCTCGTCAGCAGCTGGCTAAAATGTCCCGTGCCGTCTGAGAGGAAATCCAGACGGTTAAACAGACGGAGCAGCAAGAAGAAGAAAAGCTCCACGCTGGCTGTTTGAGGTCAGGGCAGGACAGGGAAGATCAAATCCTCACAGAGCAAACATTTAAACCAACAACTCAGAGCCCAGAGAAACGTAACACACACTTTCTTAGATTTTTGTTTACATTCACTCACTATGTAAATGGTAGGAAATTGTATAAATGTTATATTAAATGTTTTAATTACTAAAAAAAGCCCCAACTAAACATTTGACAACACAGAGTTACTTCTTACTTGCTAGAAATTAAAAGTTAATTTGGTTGAAAAGTTACCAAAAGCTGGTCAGAAGCTGTAGCTCAGACAAGTTTGGGTTATAAAGTTCACTAGAGAGGGAAAATGGCTATTGTTGGAAGCAGGAAACAAGAACAAGTGAAAAAAATTAATAAATACCCTAAAACCAATAATAATGTAGGACATATTTATAAACGATCTTAGATCAATATATAATTATTTTACTCTTAAATAGGTCGGATTTAATGTATATGCAATTTCGCACATTGACAACAAAAGCCCATTCTATTCTATTTCCGTTCTGTTCTAGTCCTCCTTCGACGAAAACTCGACTGAAATCGAAGTGTCGCGAGACTATTCGTCACGAAAATTCCAATGGCCGGCGAGCGTATGTCAGCGGCGCGGAAACAAAACATGGCAGAAACCACCTCAGAGAAAGTCCATCCAGACTGAGGACAAGACGACAGGCAACATGTTGAACCCCAAAAACCCCGAAGACAGAGAGAAGGTAAACAAAATCAACACTTCACTCAGAAAGTGCCGAAGTCAAGGTAAACTATTGATGAATTAGCACCAACATTTTAACAGACGTCACCCAGAAACGCGGTCTGTTAACACACCGTAGCCACAGTAAACCGTACTAGTACCAGCTTTGCTAAAGTCACTGGCGACATGTTAGCATACTTCAACCACGCTTTTCACTGCTCAGTTGAAAACGAGCGAATTGGTGTCCATCAATAATGTATTCCTGTGCAGAAGTAAAACTTTTTAACTCAGAGAAATAACCAAAAAAAGTCAAGGGCTAAATCAAACTGGTAGGTGATGGTAGGAACTGCTTTAAGTAAAAACATATTTTAAAAATAATTTTAAAAAGATCTTTAATGGATGAGATGTCAATTTGAAAATATTAAAAACCATTAAAACATAGTTCAGAATAACAACAAAATAACAAGGTTAAGCCCATCGGTAATCTAAATGATTGCACTAATTGTGGGGAAGTGAGGAAAGAAACTGAGTTCTCCTTACCTGGTGAAGAAATCAGCAATGCCAAACCTCTTTGGCAGCAGTTTGGGTTCAGAGCTGTCATTCTGATTGCTCAGGTCTGGAAGCTTGTCCGGAGCACTTTGTCTGCGACCCGCAATTTCTAC